CCAGCCTGACTACCCCAATCACTCGCAAACGGAGATTCTGAACCCGGCAAGTAGCATTCTCTTGTTTTCACTTGTCAGCATTACTCATTTTGGTGTTTCCTATTTCAGATGCGCAATGAGACCTTCTCTTTTATGAAGGACATCTACGCCGAGTTCAAGAAGGTTTTCAAAGATCCGTACATTCACTTGGGCATGGATGAGGTTTTCTACAGCTGCTGGAAGTCCAGTCCGGACATTACCAAGTTCATGCAAACGCACGGATTCAAGGAGTACCACGAGGTGGAAGAGTACTACACCAAGCGAACGCTGACCAACGTCAAGGACGTCGGCTACAAGTACATCATCTGGCAGGATCCGGTAGACAACGGTGTCACCCTGGCGGCAGACTCTATCGTCGGCGTCTGGAAGGACAAGTACCTTGACTCGGAAATGGACCTCTGGCAGAACTACATCAGTCGAATTGCCAAGAAAAGTAAGTTACTCTTGTGGCTGTTTTTTTCCTTCTTATTCACAACCATCTTTTGTCTACAGAGTACCAGATCATCCTTTCTGCCTGCTGGTACCTGAACTACATCACCACTCCGTACCCGGGCAAGGACTGGGAGGTGCTCTACCAGTGTGACCCGAGAAACTTCAACGGCACCGAGGCGGAAAAAGACCTGGTCATCGGCGGTCAAGCGAACATCTGGGGCGAGTTTGTCGACAAAACCAACGTCCTTGGACGTCTGTGGCCGCGAGCCTCGGCCGTGGCAGAGCGTCTCTGGTCAGAAGCGGCGGCCACTACCAGCCTCGACACGGCTCGTCTTCGATTAGATGTCCAACGCTGCCGAATGCTGCGACGAGGTATTCCTGCCGCACCCATTTTGAATGGTTATTGCGGAGAGTGGGAAGTGCCCGCCGATGAGAAGGTCGACGTGACCAAGCGGGTTAAGTTGAATTTTGATTAGAGATCTTCAAAAGAAATGATTGATAGAATTTTTTTTCTTGGTTTGTGGGGAATAAAAAGTCAGTGTTACAACTTGAAGCACATTAAACGCCAGTCAACCGTTATCACAAACAGTTTTTGCCTTGTGAACTAGTTGAACTTGAAAAAGCGGTAATTGAATGCCACTTGCCAGTCAATAGGATGATGATGATGATGATAGTCGAAGAAAATGATCGATCAAGTTGCTCATAGTGCACTTGCTAGCAAACGATAGCAGTAGAGCGCATCATTGACACTCGCATCTTTCTGTTATCATGAAACCGTTCAAGTACAAGGCCGTACAAAGCCGCATCTCGATGTACGTGCTAACGCTTCTTCAAATCATCCGACGAAGGAAAAAATTGTGATCGAGTGAAGATGGTAAAAGAATAGAGCGCTGAACTTTTACTGAGAAAAAAACCCTCTTCTCAGCCAACAGTGAGAACAAACAAATACTGAAAAAATGACAATGCACTCAGAAAAAACTACCTAAATTTTTGTTTCGCCGAATCATCAGGACCTGATGCGAAGGTGCACTGCTTTTTTTGCTCTGACTAGTCGCCAGTTTGTTTTTTCATTAGCAATTTACTGCAATGTCTTGCTCTGCTGTCAGTTTTTGACGGTATCATTCATCATCACCATCATTGTAATCATCATCACCGCTGTGTTTATCTAATCACTGCCAGCTTCACCAGCATTGCCGCTTTTCGAAAAAGGGGAAATGCCAGTTTACGTTGGCTTTGCTGGTCGTGCCATTACGCCGTTCACTGTTTACCGTCCAGTGCACAGGCGACGAAAGAGGAAAGTGAAAGATAAAGTTTGCATCATAAAAGCAGTTTTTTGATTTGCAAAAAACAAATATTTTAGGTGTTTAGTTTTTTGTGTTTCTGTTTTTGTCAGTGGTGCCACTTTTTTTGTCAGTTTTTATAGCAATTGCAAAAACTGATTAACAGCAGCAAGATGGCAACCGCCAGTATNATTGCAAAAAACACATATTTTAGGTGCTTTAGTTTTTTGTGTTTCTGTTTTTGTCAGTGGTGCCACTTTTTTGTCAGTTTTTATAGCAATTGCAAAAACTGATTAACAGCAGCAAGATGGCAACCGCCAGTATTGAAGAGAACCCCTTGAACATCTTCCGCAACTTGGACATCATCAAAGCCGAGCGCGTGGAGGAGTTTCGCCGTCTGGTGTACGAGTACGCCACCGCTCACCCCGATGAGATTGACCTGGTGGACGTGCGTTCTCGCATTCGGCCACCAGACGAAAATGAAGACAACTACCCGAAGGCGGCCATTCCCGACTGGATGCTCAAGCGGTTGCTCGTCTCCGCAAAGGTGCCCCTCAAGCTGGAATTTGCCATGGCCAAGTTTGTGGACGTCTTCAAGTTTCGCGCCCATTGGAAGTTGTCGACGCTGACGGCGCGCAACACTCTTCCCGTGGAGTTCTACAAAATAGTGCCCTTCATTGCGGATGGGGAAGACCGAGACGGCAACAGACTGATGATCATTCGCATACGCTACTACAAGAAGTTGCCGCAGTTTGAGGTGATCATCAAACGGGCCATGGTGTACATTGTCGAGCAGATTGACCGTCTTTACGAGAGCGAGGCGCCCTTCAACGGCGTCGGCATACTGATGGATCTGACTGACTTCCATTACCGCAACGTTGATTTAGATCTACTGTACTTTATCATCAGTCTTGCCTTTAAATGGCCGGGCAATGTGCGCAGCGTCTTCATTTACAACTTGCCGATGATCCTAAAGATGTTTCTTTCCGTCAGTCAGAAGATGATCGACACGCTGTCTCCCATTAAAACGCCCGTCAAGCTGACGTCGATTGACAGCAAATCAATTGGCAACTACATTGCTCCCGACCAATTGCCTGACTTTCTAGGTGGTCTGAGGCCAGTGAAAACAGAGGTACCAGCCGATGCATTGCCCCTAGAGGAGATACTGCACTCACTTGAGGATCTAATTGAGCCCGCCAATGCTAAAAAAATTTTGGATTACGTGAAAGAGTTGATGAAAAATTATTGATAAATGCCA